GCCAAAAACAACAACCCCAAAACAAGCCAAACTAAGCTTAATCAATGTCCCAAAACAAGCCAAAAGAATTCCCACCATATCCTTGAATTCAATCCACTAAGGAGACAACAACAATTGGTGATCATATGCCTGATTTGTGAGAAGGAGATAGGAAGCATCCCTTGTTGAATTTAGCTTCATTTCATTGCATTTTCCCCTTCCCTACCTTGTATATAATTCGGCCATATGGCCATTGAAAAAGCAGATTTGATTATTACAACTTTGATTACTCTTTGAGTATTCTTAAAATAGTCTGATGCTATTTTAGCCAAATTCCTAATTCTATATCTTAAGAGTGGTTATCTCAAGTGTGAGTTTTAGGTTTGAGATATTTGATTGAGTGTGTAATATCTTTATTAAATCTAGAGTTAAACCCCAAGTTAATCTAGAGGTGAGTTTATCCTTTAGTATTAATTTGGTTCCAAATTAAGATAAAAGTGTGTTTATCTCTTATTCTTGATTTGGTATTTATCCCATCCTTTCTAAAACCATCCTTCATCACTGATTTTCCACTCATCTTTATAATTTCAAAAACACCAAAAGGAACTCCTCACAATCTCCAATTTCGTCCAGCCCATTCCTAACATATACACCTCCATTTTCGTCTCATTTCCAAGTTTAAAACACCAACTTGATAAGACCCTCGGTTTCCTCCTAGCATTTGGTATCAGAGCTTTGTGTCTAAAATCCCTAAGGGGTCATCTTTACACGCCTCCCTCAATTTTTTTTTTGCCACTCGTCATTTCAGCCAATACCTCCATCAAACCATCTACTTAAAAACCATGCTTAGCTGTCCACAAAACATGTCTCATATTGATTTAGCTGCTGCCCAGGAAAAGCTAAAGAAGGAAGTTGAGCTTATGATGAAACAAGTCAAGGAGCTCACTAATTCAGTGGACATTCCTACGTTTGAAGGAAGAGCTGACTCGGAAAAGTTCTTAAAGTGGGTTAGCCAAGGTTGAATACGTCTTTACCCTCAAAGACGTACCCGAAGGCAAGAAGGTCAAGCTAGTGGTGGCGAAGTTTCAAAAACATGCATCCACTTGGTGGGCTAGCGTTGCTGCAAAACAAAAGCTCCAAGGGAAAGCTAAGGTGCAAACCTGGGAAAAGATGCGAAAGCTTTTAACCAAGAAGTTCTTACCCAGAGATTACAAATTTAAGGTACCTAAGAACATTTCCTCCTTCACATCCAAAACCCCTTCCAAAACCATGCCACTACCCCCACAACAAACTGCCCAAAACACTCCAAAAACTACCCCCATCCCCATGGTCCAATACCCTTATAAAACCATCACCTTGCACCCTCCTAATACTTCCCAAAACATTCAAAAAGCCACTGCCATGTCCACAACCCACACTCCCTCTAAATTCCCTTCTTCAACTTACAATCATGCTGTCCAAAACATCTCTCAACAAATTCCTTCTCCTATACCCAAGAACCCAACTCAAACCAGCCTTTTACCTTCCTTAGCCACTGCCCTCATTCACCCAAACACCTTCTCAACACCTCTGCCCCAAAACTCCCCAAAACCCATCTCTATAGCCTTCCCACAAACTGTCCAAAGCATCCCCGGAACCTCCTCCACTTTCAATGACCAAAACACCTCCAAAACTGCTGCCCTCTCATCCACTCGAACTCTTTCATCAAACCACCCTCATATTTCGTTAGAAACCCTCAAACCATCTCTAACTACTACAGCCTTCACCCCTCAACAAACCACACCAACAATACCGATACCAACTGCCCAAATGAACCCTAAACCTATTCCCGCCCATAACCCAACCGGAACTGTACCTCAAACTCCACTCCCTTAGCTGCCTACAATCAAGTCTACAAGCTCTTGTTGTTACCATTGTCAAAAGGTTGGACATTATGCTATCATGTGTCCAAATAAGAGAAAGGTGACATTGATTGAAGATGTTGTGGAACAAGAAGCTTTGGAGCAAAAACAAGTTCACAACGATGAGAGACCATTAATCATGGAACAAGAAAACATCATGATCATTAATAAACCATCGAGTGTTTTGGAAAAAGAAGAAGAAGAAAAACTCATGGGCATACCCATGAATTCTTACCACAATCTTCTAGAAAGACCATGGTTGATTCACCAAAGAGTTTTCTATGATGGTTTTTGCACACACGTATTCATTTTTGGTGGAAACAAGGGGAATCACTCTTACCCTAGTAATCCCACCAACCATCTTGTCTCTTACAAATTTTCCTACAATACTCTCCACATTTCTCAAACATGAGCCATCAATGCCCAAAAACACCAATGAAATGATCCTCATTCGGCCCAAAGATTCACAACCATTATCCCATTCCTTGGTTAAATCAAACTTAACCCTTTGTCATCATGAGAACGATTTGGCTGAATCCTCACCTAAAAGGATCAACCATGTGGCCTTGTTACTACTAACAACCTTCAGTGTCAATCTTGATGTGTTTAAATTGCAGAGATCTCAAGAAGATAAACAAGGAAGCAAAAACACTGTTTCTAAGTGTTAGATTGGTCATCCAAAGCTGCCATTTCAGTTGTCCACACCCAAAGTTCCAAGAGAGGAGATCATGATGATAGCAATGTTCAAATCCAGCCCCTATTTGGAGTTTGAAGAAGTACTGAGTTTGAGGACAAACTCTTTTGAAGACCAGGAGGATGTTATACCCGGGCTTGGCCCCATGAAACTCTAACCCATGCCCCACATGACCATGAGAGTCCAAGGATTAAAGTTTAAGTATTATGATCCATTTTAACTTGAATTCATAGGTCCTTAAACCCGAAAGGCCAAAATGACCTTCGTTTTGACCCAAAGGTTCCGTTGGTCAACCCCGAACTCCGTCCAACCCAACCCCAAACATCCAAAACTCCCAAAAGAATTTTATCTCCTTTTGATATTCAAAATAAAGTCTTTTCCCTCCCTTTTACAGCCATGGACGAAAATGAAGGCTAAAAGACAAAACAAAAACTTTGTTTGCTGTTTTCTTCCCTTTTACACCCTTTCATTAAATAATACCTTTCTTTTCTTAAGACACACCATGTGCCTTTGTCTAATACCCCTAGGGCCAAAATTTCCCCATGAAATCTGTCCTAAAAGATAACTCAAAACACACACATGCTTTGTTGTGATTTATTTCACAAAGGGACAAACAAACCAGCCCCAAAATTCATGACACACCACCAACCAAATCAACCACCTCCCATTCCCCATGTATGGCCGAAATAATGGGCCAAAACATTCACCCACTAATCCCCTCCTTATCTCCCTTGATTTGGCCAAAAACAACAACCCCAAAACAAGCCAAACTAAGCTTAATCAATGTCCCAAAACAAGCCAAAAGAATTCCCACCATATCCTTGAATTCAATCCACTAAGGAGACAACAACAATTGGTGATCATATGCCTGATTTGTGAGAAGGAGATAGGAAGCATCCCTTGTTGAATTTAGCTTCATTTCATTGCATTTTCCCCTTCCCTACCTTGTATATAATTCGGCCATATGGCCATTGAAAAAGCAGATTTGATTATTA